TGGCTTGCCATAACTATTTTTAAGCAAAAAATAAAAGAAAAAAAAAAGCATGTGTTAAGTTTTATGATCTGTGAATCTGTGAAAGTATTAAGTATTATTTATACTTCAGTATACGTTTTTTTGATGTGATTGAAAGGTCCCCCTCATTTCAATCTATTAGAAAGCTACTTTAAAAGTCTGGAAGAACTAACTCATGGAAACACTAGATCACTTGTCTAGCATCACAGAGAAAATAAAAAGACATAATGAGAAGTAATACTTAGATATCTGATTGCCAACTACTAACTCATAACCTTAATTTTGATAACATTTCCTAGGAAAGTTGATGTTGGGGAATAACAACTTGTTTTCTTTGAGGGAAAAAAATGGTTCAAGGAAGACTTGTATTGATCTTTAAGCGAAAAATAAAGGCATGCATGGGAGAATATATCCTTTCCTACCACTGCTATTTCCAATGGTTATTTTCCTATTTGGTTTCATAGAGGCTGGTTTACAGGGAAACTGGAATATGAATCACTTTAATTTTATTTTTCCTTCTCCCGATCACCTCTTTTTAAATTCCCACATGTGTTGTCTATTCCCCAAAGGCCTTGTTTTCAGGTAGCAAGGAAACTAGGACTAACTTCTCAAATTTTTGCTGACGGTGATTTAAAGAACTAACTCTGATAGGAGTATTGACATTTTCAAAGTGGACTTCAAACTTTCAAATGAAAAATAATAGTTTTAGAGGTGGAATGACAGCCAGTGGGGTGGGGTCAAAGTTAAGGGGTTCTTTCCAGCACTTCATCATTGTACTCAGGCAGTCTGACAGGTATGTTTCCCCACTGCCTTCTCTATAAAGGAAAATTTATTCCTTAAACATAGAGGGTAAGAATATCCTTTTTCCATTCACTTTCCCAGATTCTCTCCTGAGGAAACTTCTAGAGCCAGAGAGAATAACAGTGCTAGGTGGTAACTTTAGAATTTAAAACTATTTTAAAATTCTATGATGTCACTGGGGAACAGGGTAAATTCTTAGAAACCAACCTTATATTTGAGGTCTATGCACGGTAACTGCAATCTGCTGATTGTGGGAGTTGACCATACACAGATCTCTTACACTCCTACTCAGGGTATTTCCCTATTTTTCTACGTCCCTCATATCTTCCTTCTCCTTATCTGTGGTAAACTGTGAAGGAATTCACACCCCAGGTTTATGCTAATATGAACTCTTTCCAGAAGGTCAGAAAATTTGTCTCAGTAAGTCTTATCCACATTGTTAACTCTCCTAGATGACTCTACAAATTAAAGTGTTTTTTTTTTAAACAGTGAATCAGTTAAACTAGCAATGAATTTATTTTCTAAAAGCTAAGAAGTGAAATAAAAATGTTTCCTAAACAGATACTAAATCAAACTGAACTAAACCTTATAGGATCTAGTTTAAACCTGACTGTAAAGTTTAAGTCTCAATTTTAATTGATTCTTGTTGCATGAACTGATGACTTCATTTCTTTCCTTCATATCTGAGAAATCACAGTAGACCCTGTCGCAAAAAAGATTTTCAAGTTGAGAACGGCCTGGTCACTGGAATAGCTCAAGGTACAGCAATGACTCTGAGAAAGCCCAAGCTACTATGAAGAGAGCAGATGCTAATACTGCTCCCTGCTCCCCACCCCAAAGGGGAAGCCACAGGAAAAGGGAACACTCACCTATAGGCACTGGCCTAAACCCTTCTTTGCCCTCGGTCTCCTCATCCCTTTAGTTATGTCCCTACATGGGTTCTGTAGCTCCATATTCCAGAAACAGAATGGGGTTCAGACCTGGAACCATGTCCCTTACCTTCTTGCAGAGGAGACACTTCACAATAAAATGCATTATTTAATCATTCATAAGTAGAATTTAAAATGTATTATTTGGATGATGCATGATTAATTACATGCTTGTCCAATTACTCCCTACTAGTAAATTGGTGGGCTATTAGGAAGCATCCTCACTTTTAAGCCTCTAAAAGCCTATTTTATATGGTTATAGCTTGTTAGGAAAAGACCCAATTTTTACAACAAGTACAAGTCACTGTTTAGTCTTTTAGTCTGAGATACTGAACTGTCTTTTGATCTGAAGGCTCACAGGCCTCATAAAACAAACCTGCTCCTGGGTAACTTACATTAAGCACTCAGAGGGTGCGCCATAAAAATACGTAAAGAATAGAACTTTATCAAATAAAAGCACAATCTACATCTAGACCACATTAGACATGCGATATTGACACAAAAGGATCCACATTGTGTCTACATAGGACTCACAAAGATAATAACAGTAAAACAAAAGAAAACAGACGTCTGATTTTTTATCAGAAATACAATTTTAAATTGAATATTGATGAAATATTTCCAGAAACATTTTATAAATTGATCACCACCCAGCAAGCATTATCTTTAGTTCATTCTTTGTTGTTGTGTTTTGTTGTTTTTTAAGTATGCTCCACGCCCAGTGTGGAGCCCAACAGAGGGCTTGAACTCAAAATCCTAAAATAAAGACCTGAGCTGAAATCAAGAGTCAGATGCTCAACGGACTGAACCACCCCGGCACCCCTCTTCAGTTCATTCTTAACAATGATCTCAAAATTTGTATCCATCAGCCTTTGTGGAAGAGCTAGCTGTGACATGAATAACCACGAAGGCGCTCTTTAAAATATCTGCTCAGTTAAATTCAGGGCAAGGTCATATCATTTAAGATACACAGGTATGCTGATAAAGTCTTAAAATCATACCAAAAAAAAAAAAAAAGCACAGAACAATAATTGCAATACTTTTCCCATTTCACAGATGAGGAAATGGACAGAAAGGATAAGTGGTTGATGGCCATTACCACCCTAACTGCGTGGGAGCTCCTCTGATCTTGGAAGCTAAGCAGGGTCGGGCCTGCTTAGCAATGGGATGGGAGAAAGCACAAGGGACTTGCCCCATTGTAATAACTGAAACTGTGAGAAATGTAAACATTCATATTCCGAATTAAATATTCAGTATTAAAATGTTGATATGTATTGGTTGTTGAAGAAAAATATTTCTTAATATATAAACTTTAAAAAAAAACAAATAATATTAAGTATATACTATTATTGGTGACAGTTTTTGCCTTAACATCTACAAAAGCTATCTCCAAAATATGGTCTATTGTATTTGAATCAATTTCCTTCTAATAACCAACGTAAGTATTTTAGGTAAATAGAAATTAAAACATGACATTTTTATTAAATAAGCTCTAAAACATACACCATAGAATTTCTCAAAATCTACCTCTGCATTTTGATAAAATACAAATAGTAAATAAGAAACTCCAGGAAGATTTCAAATAATCTTCAATTTAAAATTTTTGTCTAGAATGTTATGAAACTAACTGAAGTATGATATGTGGGGGCTGTCTATGCTTGCAAGATGGGTTATTCACAGATCTTACTGTACTGTGGTGGAGTCAAATTATATCAGTTTCGAAGAACCTTCATAAGCACTTTAAACCGCTGCCTTTTTTATTGCTTTTGGGCCTCAACTACCCTAACGTTGGGGTCTGCTAGGAAAAATAAGAAAAGCAACTTAGAAATTCAGTTTATTTTTTAGGTGCGGAGCATATGTTTACATTTATAGACTGGTGATTTAAATCAAGTTTTCTTGATTAGTGATTTTTAAAAAATCCTCCTACAACTGGTATTTATTTAGTGGAAACCAATGAGACCAAAAACTTCTTCCAGTACGGTTTGCTACACCTTAGGACATATATTCCCAAGTTCAAGTGAAAATGAATTCAGCAGGACACCCGCAAATTAGAAGGATGACATTTTCTGTGTTACCCATTAGCAGATAGATACATACATACATCCTATGAAAGAGGTAAAAGTATGGGCCAGGATTTATGAAACATTTGTAAAGTATTATTTCAACACTTTTCCCGTGCTTCATGAAAGTCTCCTGTTATTAACGACCATTTCACAATCTGAAAACTAAATGAGATGTACTAATACTGGTGTATGTTTTCACAGCAGCGGCTGCCACAAAGCTTTCACACGCATAATTATCTTCAGAGTTAAGATTAGTGGCAAACATCTTATTTTCAGACAATTACAGAAGAGAGAATATAAGTGTTTGTTTATAGTCCTACAACTTGCTAAAAGCAATTAGCCGTGATCAGTAATGCATTTCTAATCCATACTCCTAAAGTCAGACTCTGTCTCCTGTATAAATTTTAAATGTCATAGGGATTTTGAAATTAATAGTGTTTTTTAAAAAAATTATGACACATTGTTTAAACATAATTTTGAAATATACAAAGAAATGAACATTAAGGAAATTTGTCCCTTTAAAGAAAACTGTATTTAATTATTAAAAATAACCAATCACAAAAAATATTTTCAAAGTATTTTAAGTGTAATAATAGAGAATATGATGCTGGTGGACATTTGAGTTTTACTTTTTAAAAATTATATTCTTTTAAATCTAAAAGAGTGAAAAAACAATGCCCCAAAATCTTAGCCCAGAATCCTTCAAATCTTCATATTTCATCAATGCCATGCTGTTATAGTAGTTTTTGTGAAGACTAGAAACAAACTTTTCAATATGAAAAAGAATTATTATTTAAAAATGAAATAACCACTTTTTTCCCCTCCCAGTGAATTATAAAAGATTGAGATGGTCACTAGTTGATTCTAAGATGTTTTAAGATATAATTATCAGCAAGTGAAGTATCACATATCATATAATTTAAATAAAGGGAAAAAATTATGTGAAGTACCCAGTAAGGCAAAAATAGATGGTTTTGTAACAAACTTCATTTTTTGGCTAACATGACATTAGTTTTAAATTTTGTATATTAAAGAATACTATGGCACCGTATTAACTACAGAATCAATCTGTGAATCTGACTGAAAATAGACAACACAAAAATGATGTTAAAACTTGAACAGTTTCCCTCGAAACATCCCTCAGAACGCTAACTGGTAACATGTGTAAGTGTCTTCCATAAAACATTCATAGGAGTGTGAAGTATTTCTTTGAGAAGCCCCAGGGAATGTCTATGTCAGTCTCTATACCAGAAGGGTTTCCTAAATCATCGAACGCCATCATTTTGGTTCTGCTTTCAGTCAGCGATTGATCCCTTAGCTATAGACGGAAGACTGCCAGAGAACACCTGAGATTTGTGGAAGAAGACGTGCCTGGGTCCTTTTAAAGAGTAAGTTATTTCACTGTTCTCTCAACAACTCTGGTTACAATTTGTTTCGTGAATGATAAAAAACAGTTGACATTAAAATAATGTACTTCAAAATAAGGAGCTTCTCCAGCAATAGGATTCCTACAACTCAGGTCAGCATCTTGCCTGGTTATGTTTTCAGATGATAATTTAACAAATTTAATTTTACATTTCATCCCCCAACCTTGAAAAGGAAAAACAGAAAAACTTTAGCTTCTTCCTGACAGATCACTAATTTTTTTTTAAAATTTTATTTCTCCTAGAACTGACACTATTTTCCCCAAGAAAATAGTGAGCTATCTTTAGACCCAAGTGAATTCGATTCTTAGGGTCAAACAAGAGCACAGCCAAATACTAACGATATAATTGTCCTCATCATCATCTCGCAAATTTTGGACACATCAACACATTTCAACAAAACGCAATCAGAGTGAGGCGACTCACCTAATCAACGGAAGCTAACAAGAAGAATTTAGAAATGCAGCCTTCTGAACACCAGCAGAGGTAAAGGCCCCTTCTTTACCTAACAACTGACCTTATATAAAAGCGGCGAATAGGTTACTCCCAGTTTCTGCCTCCTTACCTTAGGCTCCTCCCCAAATACCAAGGCATACAGTACCACAACCACACACCCACTTTCCACCCCCTGCACTGAGGGACCAGGACTTTGTGTTCAGGCTACCTGCCTCTCCCTACCTCAGTGAGAGGACACAGCGCGGGCAGTGAGGCGCGGCACGTGTAGGAACCCCCAGCCCGGTAATGCCACCTTTCCAAACACGGGGGTGGGGCGGGGGACGCACGCCTTCTCCATCCCCTATAACCCCGGGGAATCCGGCCCACGTCCCAGCCTCTTCACTCGGCTCACGGCCAGCTCAGCGCTCAAGGGCACCGGGGTTAGGTGACCTCGAACGCGCCCCTCGCTTATCTGTCACCGCGACCCCCAGTGACCGCCTCCAGGGCTCTGGAGACCGAGAAGGAGACTCTACGGCGGCGGGACGGACAGGCACCGGAGCCCGCGTTTCGGTCCCAAAGTTCCCCTCGAGCGCCTCCCGGACGCCGGCGCACCTCCGCCGGGGACTCGGAGGTCCCGGTTCTCTCGGACCCCGACCCAGGCGCTCCCTCGGGGGGGCCTGTCCCGGGAGCGCCGGACGCACGACCGGCGCCTCCCGGTGCGCGGCCGCCGCTCCCTGCGGCGCGTCTCGCGCGCAGCCCCTGCCCTCCGCGGCCCGGCTGGCTCGCTCTGTACCGGGACTTCTCAGCACGCCCGCGACCCTCACCCGGACCTGTCCGTGCCCGTCCCCTCCGACCTCGACGCCGCAGCCCCGGCCCTCCTCGGGCCCCGGCCCCTCGGCGCTTCCCCGCCCTCCAGGCCCCCAGCGCCGCCCGCACCCCGACACTGACCTGCGGCTGCGGCAGCGCCCGGCTCCGGTGTCCCGGCGGCCGCCCGAGCGCCCCAGGCGGCGACTGCGGCGCGGGCGCGGGCGCGGGCGCGGGCTACGGCTCCGAGCGCGGTCGGCCCCGCCTGCCCGAGGCTGAGCCGGGCCGGGGGCGGGCGCGGCGGCGCGGCACGGCGCGGGGGCGGGGAGCGCGCGGCGCGGGGCGCCCGCCGCCTGGCGCACAGTAGGGCCCCTGGCCTCTGGGGCTGCCTTGGGGCGCACGCCCTCGGCCCGGCCTCGCTCGTTCCTCGCAGCCACCGCTGGGAGGCGGCCCAGAAATGGTCCCATTTTACAGAGCCGGCACCCGGACGGAGCTCAGAAAGGTGCCCACGGTCACGTCTGGGAACAGTCCGCGGTGCGGGCTTCCGGAGCCCGCCCTCCGTCTCCACGCCAGTGTGTCTCACCCTTCGCCCTGCGAGATTTCCTTTTTCCAAGCTGTTATTTTTAATGACATTCTTTAAAAAGAAATTAAATCATATTTAGGATCACCTGGTTTTTACCCGAGGGCCCAATGGTGCTGCGCACTTTCAGCGCCCCCCCTCCTTTTGCATTTGTACTTCACACCGGTGCTCATTAGTTCCTTAAGGTGATAGAGTTTTAGTTTTAATCATTAAAAGCATTTCTTAAACTCACTAACAGCATTTCTTGAATTCTTTAGCGGTGTTTCCTGCACTGAGGGATCAGGACTCATGGGGTGGGGGTGGGGTGGGACGCGGGGCGTGGGAATCCCAAGTTCTCACGTTGGAGAAGCAGTTTGGGGCATGCTGCCTGGTAAATGTACTGGGCAGTCTGCGGGCCGCTGCTTTTCCTGCCGCCCTCTCCGTGACGACTCGTCCAGAGGGGTTCACAGATGCCCAGTCAGAAAGCCTCTGGTCTTCTGGACTTGAGGCCGTACCTTTTTCCCTTCCTCCCATCGCATTTACTGAGCATCCCGCTCTCGGCCTGGTCCTCCTTGAGAAAGCAAAGACGAATAACGTTCCTGACTTCAAGAAAATTATCGATTGCTTGTCCAGAATGCTCTCTAGCCCTTTCACATCTTAACTAGTTGGGGACGCTTAGTTCTTTTCCCTTTAGGGCAAAAGGTTCTCATTTTTGAAGGACAATTTTGTGAGGATGAGTATCACTTCTGAAAAGGTTCAGAGCTAAAGTCAATAGATTCGTGTCCTTCTACTTGTCTCCTAGAACAAGAAGAGCTACAGCTCTGTAGGGATTCGAGAAAAGAACATTTGTTGACCATTGGAAGCCACCCATTTCTTTGCCTGTCGTCTAGGTAAGTCGGGTTGTCAGGGCTCAACATTCTACACTCAGGCATAGAAGTGCTGCATGCATTCTTCTTGATCATTCCAGAGTTCCAAATGTATGATTCAATATTTGTCAGTTTATTGACAGAGTTGTACCACCATCACCATTTCAAAAGAAACCTCCTACCCATTAGCAGTCATTCCCTGTAACCCTACCTAACCACTAATCCAGTTCTGTCTCCATAGATTAACCTATTTTGGATATATCATATAAATGAAATACAATAAAGTCTTCTGTGACATGCTTCTTTGAACTTAGCATAATGTTTTGAGGCTCATCCATGTGGTATCATATCGATATTTCTTTCTTTTTTATGGTCAAATAATATTCCATTGTATGGATATATCACATTTCATTTACTCATCCACTGTTGATGAATATTTGGGTTGTTTCTACTTTTTGACTATTAGGAAAAATGCTGTTATGAAGATTCATATCAAGGTTTTGTGTAGACATGTTTTTCTTTCTCTTGGGTACATATCTAGGAGCAGAATTGCTTGATCAAATGGTGACTCTATGTTTAATTTTTTAAGGAACTGCCAGCCTGTTTTCCAAGGTGGCTGCACCATTCTACATTCATGTCAGCCATGTATGGAGGTTCCAGCTTCTCCACATTCTTCAACACTTGTTATTGTCTTTTTTATTTTAGCCAACCTGATGTGTGTGAAGTGGTACCTCATTGTGGTTTTGATTTGTATTTCCCTAATGACTCATCATACAAGCATCTTTTCATGTGCTTATTGGCTATTTGTGTATCCTCCTTGAAGAAAAGTCTATTAAAATCCTTTGTTCATCTTTAAATTGGGTTATTTATATTTTTATTGTTAATTTATAAGATCTGTTTATATATTCTGTATACAAGTTCTTTATCAGATATGTAATTAACAAATATTTCCTTCCATCCAGTAAGTTCTTTTTACTTTCTTCTTGGCATCATTTAAAGCAGAAGAATTTTTAATTTTAATGAAATTCAATTTACCTATTTTTCTTTTGGTGTCACATCAATTCCTAATCCAGAGCCATAAAAATTTACTCCTAAATTCTCTTCTAAGAGTTGATAGTTTTATCTCTTATGTTTAGGTCTCAGAGTTATTTTTAGTTAAATTTTGTGTATGGTGTGAGGTAGGGCAAACCTGCTTTTGGTTGGGGAAATTCGCATAATTAAGGACACTGACCAAAGAGAATCCCAACACAGTAAACTCAGAACTGGTGCAACATTTTAGAGTTGAATACTAGAATATGAATACTTCCTAAACATCCTTCTAAATAAAAAAAGAAATCTGTGATTTTTGAAAGTGATCTGTAGTTAGTGAAGCCTAAAAATGTAAGAAGTTAAGGAATGTAAATAGAAATAATATAAATCTGTTTTTTAAACTACTGGTCTTGATTCACTGGTGGATTATTAAATCAATTCAGTGGGCTATAACCAAGATATTTTTTAAAGTCCAATAAAACAGAACAGAACAGAAACTATCAGAATGTACTTCCTAAATTTAAAAAAAATGTTACTTCATAACTTTTATGTTATGTATATGTGTGTTTGTGTGTACCAGGAATTGGTGTAAAATGTGTTTATTACTGTTGGCCATATTTTCAAAAATTAGAAAAACACTGTGTAAGCTTACAGTTGCAGAATTCTTTCATTCCACAAACATTTATTGAGTGCTTATTTTGTGCCAGGCCCTCTGCTAAGTGCTGGGGATAAAATGATGAACAGCACATGGTCTCCGCCCTGCAATAGCATGCATACACAGTCCTATCCATACTGTAGTTTCTAGAGATACAAGATTGTACCTTGGTTCAGTTTTCCCAACCACAAGGACACCTTCCAACTCTTGATGTTTGGTCCTGTGGCACTTATTTTTTTTGCAGTTAGTGCTCAGCTGTTCACCTCATTCAAGATTTGCAAACATATTTGCTTTTCTTCCAACTAGGGGAACTTTGTTCCCAGGTTCATAATTGCATACTATGTTTATTATATTGGGAAGGAAGTACAAATCTAGTAGTGGGAGGGAACCATAACTTAATTGATTTGCATTTTCCTCCAATTAAAACTAGCTTGACTGAGAGAACCTCAGGTTGGTTGGTTGGTTGGTTTTTTTGAGAACTCAGGTATTTTTAAATACTGTTATATTACTTCTTTTTTTTTTTATTTTTCAAGGGTTTGGCAAAACAGAGTGTTGACATTAATAGTGATATTTAACTATTTTGGAGATTGGGTTTAGGAAAATTAATGTGCTCTGTTTCCAATCATCCAACTGAGTCACTTATTCATGGCAGCTGTGTACCATCACAACTCTTTATCTGAGACACCAATTGTCCTATCTAAACGCCACACATTCCCAGGAGATTTAGAAGATCTTAATTTAAAATTTAAAAAATTATAACCAGTTCAACATGCCAGACAGATTACACACACACACATACACACACACTTCCACAAATACAGCCACTTTTTGAATGACTCTGTTATGTTCTCATACATGATTTTTAGATCTTCTTCTAAAATTTTACCCACAACCTCCCAATTTTACTTTGACTTCGATTAAGGTCCTTTTCTCTTCCTCTCCCTATTCTGTCACCTGTTATCTTGCCCTTCACTAAATGACTTGCCCATTTGTTACAAGATCTTAAGTACCACAGCCAGGCTTGTATCCCATTTCTTCTGACCTCCAATTGATTGATCTTTTCATTATAACTCTCTACATAAGTCAGCTTTCTATTTCTGAGTGGTTGCTTATGAATAAAAAAAATTTCTGGAACATTTTAATACAAGTATTAATCTTGATTATAAACAAATAATTAGGTTACAATAAATGCAGCTGTGTGTTGATTCAAATTAAAAACCGTAAGAGAATATAGCCAAATTAGCATTTTTTTAGTACCCTCACTTTGAGCTTTTTTAAAGATAATTTGGAATAATTGAAAGAAATTTTTTTTTTTTTTTTTTTTGGTGACACTTTTAGACCTACCGTTTATTTCAATCCACAGTTCTGGAGGCCCCAAGATGCCTCGTTGCCTTATGTCCTCCATGCCGGGCCCGAGGTCCGCCGCCGCAGCTTCCCTCAAACGGCCCCGCACACAGGTGTCCACCACCGGCGTCACCCCCCCCCCCCCCCCCGACAGCAAGACAGAGCTCATGTTTGCTAAGTTGCCTCTTCTCTGCTTCCAATTTCTGGTTCCTGACGACATCGGCATCCTAAATGTTCCGATACCTTGTTTCCATGAGCTCGTCATGCCAGAGATCAAGGGTTTCTAATGGGCAATGAAACCAGCATTGTCCCTTCCCCAGCCTTGGCAGTTTAAAAGCTGGGCAGGTAGTCTGGAGGGTTCCAGAGACGTCGCTCCCAAAAGAAATAATTTTAAAGCCATTTCTTCAAGAGTACTGTTTTCTTTCCTATTGAATGAAATAACTCCCTATTTTTCTTTTTTATAATTTGTAAACATCTTATGAACTTAATGATGATATTTAATTCCAAGGAAATTCCATTTGGTAATTTCAATAGTTTTGAATTAGACTACTCAAATTTTAAAGTTTTAATGGTTTGAAAACATCTCTTAGAGGTTCAGAAATACTTTGATTTTCGGGGAATAAAAAAAGAGCATTTTGTCCTGCTTTGCCAAATTTTCTCTACTTTTTTTCCTAAAAATTTACCTACTTTGCATATCAGATTGGCTTCTAAGTAGCAAGAGTTAGGAAGTAGAGTGAGTAGATGTGAGGAAGAAGAGAACTCCTGGTCACCCTGGAATGGCAGAGTTTTCAGAATGGGAACGCTGTCCTATTTTCCATTATCTTTTCCTTTTAAGAGCATGAAGTAAGTAGTAGTAGTAGAATGGAAAGAGCCCTGACCTTTATCTCTGCTCATTGTGACCTTGGGCGGGAGACTTGCTCTCTCTGAAGCTGTTTCCTTGTCTATAAAATGGAAATATAATATATTCCCACAATCTCACCAATGAGAGGACTTGAGAAAAATGCCAAGTCAGGCTCCTTGTAGGAACTTGTAGGCACACTCCCCGTTGAGCAAGGAGCCCGATGTAGGGCTCCATCCCAGGACTGGGGAATCATGACCTGAGCTGAAGGCAGCTGCTTAACCGACTGAGACACCCAGGTGCCCCTAAATTGTATTTTCAAAACATTTTTTGGGAAATACTTTTTGAAGTATTTTTTCCTATATATATCTTATTTAGTCATCAGTCTACATGGACGCTCTGCTCTCTTTCTTTCTTGCATGTAAAGAATCACTAGTATTAGGAATAGATTTAAAAATAACCATGAACTCCAGATTTCTGTATGAGAATAGTTTTCTCAGGACACCTGTGTGATTTTATAGGTCCCAGGCTTTGTCATATAAAACTAAAAAGCAAATGCTTCTTATGATGGAAAAGATTAGACATAATACAGAAGTGGACAGAATAGGAAATGAACCTCCTTATACTCATAATCTGGTGTCAGTTTATGGCCAATCTTGTTTCTTCTGTGCCCTCACTCATCTTCCTCTCTTCTAATATAATTCTGAAGCAAATCCCCCAAACAGGTTTTCATCATGAAACTTTCAAACTGTTTTAAAATGTTGTTTTTGAGCCTTCTACATAAAAGTTGGTTCAAATGATTTACTCTGGGAGCTTTTTGGTTATCAGAAAATTTCTCTACTGAAATACCAGAAAATTGTAAAATGTGTTTATTGCTGAGAGAACCATTGTCTGCCTGCTACAGAGTTCCTTCCAGAGGACCCAAGGACATAAATATGTTCAGGCTGAGAAATGGGCAAATAACTGGGGAAAGACAGTTATGGTAGTTTCAGTTGCTAACAACAACAACAACAACAACAACACAAAATCAAAAACAAAAGCAAAACAACCCTTGTGTATCTGTGCCAAGAACAGATTTCAGCAGATATTGGTTCCCTAAGCTTTGGGGTAGCTGGGTGGGGCCTGGGTGGTTGATAGAGTTCCAGGGGCGGGGAGGGG